GAAACGTTGGTAAACATCGACCAGACTACACAGCGCAACAACCCAGAAGACAGAACTCTTCAAAACTAAATCCATTTGAGCAGGTTATATTATCAAGTTGCATGCCACACATTATTAAGCTAGTCAAGAGTAACTGTAGCCACTAAATCTCTTACCCTTCCAGCAAATTCTAGTAAAGTGGTAGCCAAAGGTGGCATGTACATAGCATCCTTCATGTACCCCCAAAACAAAGAAATCAAGGGGAGTAACATCAGATGAATGAGACGACCAAATTACAGGTCCACCCCTGCCAATCTATTTCTCTGCAAACTTATGTTTTAAAAAGTCTGTCACTTGCTTGTAGAAATGTAGAGGTGTTCCATCTTGTTGAAATGGCTTATCATCAGGACAATCTTCTTTCAAAATGGGTATGAAACACCATAACTGTGAGTATAGCACTTCAGGTAAAAAGATTTGAAAACTCAAGTGGCACAGATTATAAACTTGTTCATATAACCTGTTCAAATATATTTAGTTTCAATAAAATCTTCTCAGGCCATCAGCCGCATCAACTGATGTGATCTGATCAGAACCCTGATGATGGAGACAGAGTTGGTTCCCAAAACGTCGATTTACTACGATAACCGGTTGAAGCGGCTGACTGCCTCAGAAGATTTTATCGATTGTACTCACCACGAAAGTCTCAAATCCTATATTTAGTTTCCATTCCTCTGCCTTTCAGTTCATGAGCACTGTTACAGTAAAATGACACATATTTCATAATGTATATGATGCAGATGCAGCTTGTATTTATATTTTACAGATCCAATGCTCTAAATGGCTGTAGGAATATAAATACTCACGTCTCTCACTGTCCTTCTCTGTGCAGACTAGATCACGACACAACAGATTGTCCTCCATGGTGACTTCCAAGTCAAAGAATAATGTCTCTAAGTCAACAGAAGGCTTAGCTCCACTGGATGCATTATTTGTTCCTCCCATGCTTGTTTCACTAATAACAGATGCAGGCGACTCCACTTGTTTACCAGTTGAACTACCACGCTCTCCTCTTTTCGTATCTAAACCAACATGTAATATACACACTGAAATTAACAAGACACAAGATAAATGTATACTATATCTCAAACGGGTGGATTTGTGACAACAGTACAGTCATCTTCAAATACAGGGCAAGTCTAAATGATGTTCCCGATTTCAAACACACGTTACTCACGTTTAATGAAATTCAGATGGACAAAATTGGTACCGATTGAAAGAGAAACTCTCCAAGTTTATGTTGGTATACTTTGTGGCCGCATAGTAACACTGTTCGCTGCCAGGAGCGATATGAGAGAAAATGGCTGCCAACAAAGACAGGGGAGCCTTTCGTGTCCTGGATTTCCATGTTCACCGGACCTGACGCCCTGTGATTTTTTTTTGTGGGGGTTCGTCAAATATAGAGTATTCGTGCCACCCTTACCACAGACCTTGCTTGATCTGCGAGCGCGTATCACAGAAGCCATTGCAGCAATCGATCATGATATGCTGCAACTTGTCTGGGAGGAACTCGACTACAGGCTGGATGTGTGCCAAGTTACCAAGGGGGTTCACATTGAACACTTGTGATGTACTGAAACAAAACTTGGAGAGTTTCTCTTTCCATCGGTATCAATTTTGTGCATCTGAATTTCATTAAACGTGAGTAGCATGTCTTTCAAATCGGGAACATCATTTAGACTTGCCCTGTACTGGCAACACCAACATGCAGAAAATTTGCCTTCATACACTAGCAACAGTGATACAGTATGTTCACAATTGTTTTAGCAGCAATGATACAGCAATGCAACTCACAATTTAACATACATGACCACTTCAACACATTAACATTCTATACTGAATTTTACGTGAATCCAATAGTACAAGAATTGGAAAAATGTAATAGTGGAATTCTAAACTATGTAACCTCATTGATGGTCCATGTCTCAAAATCTAATATGTGACAACTTTTCATATAGTACTACTAGCTTTATTTGACTTTAATTTAGAAGCACTGAAGGAGGAGGACATTGTCTTTCTACAATATTTTGCAAACAAGAACATATGTACTTGTGAAAGGTAAACCCCTACTTTTTACCTTCATCTCAAAAATAAAAAGTGTGATCAATAACGACGTAACAGAAGCTCATTCCTTCATTAATAAGGCACATAAATCACAAAGAATGCATCTGGAAAATATATTTACTCTACTGAAGTACATATCTCCATTCTTGTTCCATCACTGTGATGAACACTTGGGGAATCCCTTCACCAGCTGAATACCTGGTACTGCCGAAAGAAAATCCTATACCATTACCTAGTTCCATAGCTCCTGGTATTGACATGGAGGTTCTGATCTCCACAGAGGGCTGTTGTTTATGTCTTGACCTCTGCTGTTTCATCTTAGCACGTGCTTGACGAAATAACCGCAGATGTGAGGCAGCATCATCAACCAATCGAGTCGTCAGATATGGAATCCAATCCACTTCCTTCATTCTGTCAATATATGTCACAAAAACTTCAAATTTCAGTATTACATACGGTACATTCCGGTTAATTGGGAAACATCGGGACTGAAACACTTTGTCCCAATTAAGCGGCTGCCCCAATTATACGAAGTTCCACGTAAAGAGTTAAAAACGTTTGTTCTTTAAGGTTTGCCCCAAATAAATGGCTTCCCAAATTAACCGGAATCTACTGTATTATAAATATATTAATTTAACTGTTCTGCCAGAAATTAATTGTGGCCAATGACACACTGTAGCCCATAACTCTATTAAATGAGCTACCATGGTTCTGTTATAGTTAGTGTGTATTACTTTAAAGCGCACTGGGAACCAAATTTCCCAGCTGCTTTAACAACCAGTACTTCATCATTTTTTATTTATACTTCATATAATTCTCAGAATAAACAGCAATTACTTGCTCAAACACCATTAACCAGTTATCTTTGCAATCATTAAGTGTTGTGTTTTCTTTGTGGTACAGACTGAATTCTTAAATATAATTACTTATACAAGCTTCAGCTTCAAAGGGTAAATAAGATTTTAACCAGCTATAAAAAAATGTTTAATTACAAGAAGTATTTATATTTAATATGTATTACAAATTAAGCAAGAATGTTTATAAAAAAATTGTAATAATACTCAAGACTTTCATTACTTTTATTACTAGTATCAAGACAAAAACATGCTGAGATATTAACAACCATATAACTAACTCAATGGAGTGGCAAAAGACAAATATTTAGACCAAGGTATCCACCATAATTGAATACAATGATCATATTGCAACACCTAAGAATACAATTAATACCATGTGCAAAATATCAGGTCACAGTTAACTGACCATGTGAGACTGAAGCTTCATATAGAAAGAAGACTGTCATAGCATTTTAAAATTTTACATTTCCTGTTTATATTACCTTCCAGCAAAAGTGACAATAACCCTCTGGGCAGTCTGTCTAATCTCATGAGGAAATTCACTGTCAGCGCTAAGTCGATCATACCATGGGAAAACATAATCACGAAGCACATAACCAATTATCTCCCGAAGCGACTCATCAATTACTTGTGAGCCCGTGAGACGGCAATCAACCTTGTGTGATGGTGAGGGTGCCTCCATAAGATGTACAACCTGTAATCACACACCAATACTGTTAACCCACAAACCAAGAAAGTACAACTAACTAACTAGCTGGTTTGGGGAACACGAAGGTTCATCACTGAATTAAACAAAGCCCTCCACTGGCCCCTGTCCAGGGCAAGAAAGCATGACAAATACAAACTAAATATATAAATATAGGCTTGTGAGAATCATTCCTTCAGTTTGAAACAAGATTAAGATAGCAGTGAAAAATGTCAGTAATTTAAATAAGAACAAGATTCAACACAATACATTACAAATTAACTATGCATCAGATCTACAAGGGGAGAATTCCAACCCCAGAACAAGACAATTCTAACCTTACTAAGTCCAGGTTTGGAAGACTCTTGCCTGGAACGATATACAGCCGTGTAATATTTCTGTGAAGAATCCGCATTTTTCAGGTAAAGGAATGTGAGACCTCTGAAAACAAAATTATGGTTATAAAAGATAATAATAAAAGATACCAGCATAGAAAAAATAAAATACATAAAACACATCTTCTGAACTGGACATACACAAATTAAGACTGACACAGGAACTCCTTTTCCAAAATACAGTAAAACAAAGGTGTTACTTTAAATGTTCATAATTTGCTACTGATAACAAATTTCAATACTGTATGTTTATAGTTTTTTGCCAAAGAATTAAATGAAAACTAATATATTACAAACACAATATTCTTAGGTTAACATCACAGATAAAGATATGACTGCTTACAAATCCTTAAGCAGATCATAATTATGTTTATGCTTCCATAAATCAAAAGAATAAAAGCAAGCAGACATTTACCCAACCAAAAACACAGGAACTGACACAGACATGGTGATGCACCACCAGAGACCAAATGTTGTGAGACACAGTACAAGTACAAGGCTCACCCACGCAAGCAGCGACACATTCATCTGAAATGGAAATTGCACAGAATTTGACACATTCTATAATTTTAGCCTTCAGACCACTTCACTGCGGCACAACACACCTGTAGCTTTACATACTGGCAATTTACATGTACAACTATAAATATAACGCAATTCTTACAACATAATGCATCACCTACAAGAGATCAAAATCGTATAGATACACGATAATTCTTAATATATATGTGTGTGTGGTCAAAATGCAGACTAAGAAAAATTAAATTCAGCCCCAGTAATGTTAGGATATTATTAATATTATGGTCGTTCATAAATTTTTATGTCTTCATACAAAATACTGCACAGAAAGTATTGTATTAAAAATAATAAAAAATAAAAAGTTTCTGGAAATGCGGCTTTATGGATTATGGATAACAAAAAGTCAAGTGAAGACCCATCCAGATTTAGTTTAATGCACACAACACTCAGAACACCAATCAGAGTTTAGGACACTGCATCGAAACTCATTGTTATTAACAATTTTGTATATGTATAAAGTATATTCAGAGAGTGCAAAAAAATTACAGCAATTAAATATTTTTTAGAAATTACACAAAATCCTTAAACAGGATTAATTTATGTATGATTTGAGGTTTTCACAGCGGTGAGATGCCTCCATCATCAGGGCGCCCTGATGATGGAGGCAGTATGACTTCTGGAACGTTGGTAAACATCTACCAAACTACACAGGGCAACAACCCAGAAGACAGAAATCTTCAAGATTAATTTAGACACAATTTTGGTAATAATGCATATAAAAGTTTTCTAAAATAATTTGTAGAGCCTGTACATTTAAATCTTTATACTGACACAGCAACAGAAAAGAAACAAACTAATCTGAAAGCAACCATTATAAAAGCATTAATCCTGCAGCCAATTCACAATTACGACTGAATTTCATAAGACCTCTAAGAAATATAATTTGAATACATCTATTGTCTGTGTAGTTTTAGCACCACATCAACTTCTACAGCCATTTGCACCTGTATGAAATTCAGTTTCAAATTATATAATCTGATATATATTAGAATTAGAATAAACATGCAAGACTATAAAGAACCAGACTCACAGTGTGGGCAACACTTCAAAATTGTCATACAAGAACTGAACATTATAAAAATGTTTCATGGCTGTACCCAAACAACTATACACATCAATATTTTGGACTCTAACCTAGCAACAACACAAGGACCAGAAATAACATCACTTTAAGGGCAACTGCTGGCTTCAAGAAGACTCGCTGCATATAAATAGGTAAAAAGTAAAGCCATCCCATTACATGCCAATGTTGGCACATTGGGAAGAGGAGGTATAGCTCCAGCTCATTCTCATCCTTGGCACTAGATGCGGGTGAGCGATCAGCAGCATGCCTCAGCCACACTTTACCCCCAGGAAAGGATCCTGGTACCCACTGGACATGAGGATGGGTGGACCCACAGAGCTGATCTGGACACAGAGGCTAGAAGAATATCCCCTGCTTCTGTCAGGGATTGAACCCTGCTTGTCCAGCCTGTACGCAGTCACTATACTGAGTGAGTTACCCACAGGTAAATCACATACTTAAATATACTCAACAAAATACAGCCATCAAACAAATTGTTCACACAACAAGGTTTGTCATCTCCTATGTTGTGCCGCTGCATAGTCTTGTAGGGTGTTTCCAACACATTACTCTTATCTTTGGGGTAAACATAAAATACACAGAAGACACAAGTCAAACACAGCCCTTAAGACCATAATCTACATCTTGGCCACCATGATATCCTCAAATTTCAGTTGGTAATACTACGTGGGGAGGATACTGGATATGTATATTTCTTAGCTTGGATAAAAGGGAAACAACAGAAGAAGATCCATTAAGAAAGGAAAGATCTATTATGATTTATTTTATGGTCACAATGATAAAAATGCAGAAGGAGAATTCGGATATCCATAACCACTAATGTTCCCCTGCTCTGACATAGTATACTTACGCAAAGTATACCAGTAGATGAATGGAAACATTTTGTATCTTCCAGAAGGAATAAAAAACTTTACATTTAAGTGAAGATGTCTATCCCCTGGGTTGAAGCACAGTGTAGTCTGGTGCTACAATCCAGAAAACAGCCATCTTCATACTTACAGCCATGAGAACCTCAAATCATACTTCATGTTTAAAGTTTAAAGAGATTAAGATAAAAGATAATTTAAAGAGTCAGACCAGTTAAACTAATTTATATATTTCATGACTTTAAAACAGCAGCAGTTCCTTTATCGTGACCGCAGTTAACTTTGAAAGTCACAGATGTCAACATTATCTGATGTTTTCACATTCCATAAAATTGGTTTATACATAAAAAGAAAGGTATAATAACACAGTTCTGCTGGTTTGATCTAAATATGTAAACACATTGCATTTATTATAACTTAAGAGTGGATGCTGAAGGTCTGTAAATTGTCTACAACATAAGGGTTCAAAATTAAGTAGTACACACTAAAGTGGCGTTCGTGAAATACTGTCAAGAACTAGACTAACAAAAACATTAAAATCTCGTGTGAATCTTGCATAACCGATTATTATATTACTCATACTGGCAAGTTACACCTTCTGTCCTTCAAAATTTGGAATTATAACACATACGATTTTGTTGGGTACTGAATGAAGACTTCCATTCGTAGTTCATCAGATAATTTTTCACTAAGGCATTCTGTACTAAAGTTAAATTTATAATATATTACATTAAAGTGTTCTCTCGAACGATATGCAATTTTGAGTTTGTCACTCATCGAGAACAGACGTCTTTCTTGCAGAACAAAATTTATAACACTTGTTACCTAGACACTACATATCACACCACTTAGATGTCAATGTGCTTACGCCTGTTCCCATAATTTAGGGCTATTAAAAATATTAATAATCATATTATAAATAATAGACAATTTGGATATTTATTCACTTTCGTGATACACTTTGGATCACAAAACTCCTTTACGGATTTCTACGTCTCCTATTAGTTCCTTCACATTCGACAAGGTAGCGCATCAATGCGCATTAGTGCTGCGATCTCGTAACATTAACACAAACTTTGGTACAATGGTTTATGGAGACATTAATAAAATATCGAAACGGTCATTCCAAAGAACATGGCCAAAATACCAGTACTGGTCTCGTGAAGTTTTAACTCATTTAAGAGAAAGTCACCACCCTTTGCACAAAAAGGGAAGTAATTTACAATTAAATCACATAGTACAGGGGTTCGTAATCAGAAACCCACTGTCGTGTATTGTGCTACACACTTCGACCTAAATATCACCCCTAAAAATAGTTGTCACGTTTTATTTACGTGATTTTAAGCGACAATTAAAAATAAAGGCAAATCAACAGACTTATAAAGAAAGTAATTTATTGATGTATTAACATGTTTTCCTATCATTTTAATAAATTGCCATGGCTTTTCAATAAGTTATTCTCATTTATAACCTTCCGACCCGTGAATCGATTAAAGACGGTGAATGTGGTTCCAATCATCGAAAAGTCTGAGAACCCTTGCCTTATTAGATACGTGAAACATGACATTATGTGAAATTACAACCAAACATACAAATGACTGCGAGTTTAAAAGTACTAGTAGTTTAGAACTAATCATAAAGTTTGTACATAATTGAATTTATTTAACTTTTGCTACATCGGGCCTCGTCCGGTGTACTTGAGGAGGAGGGGGGTGCCAAGAAGAAATATTACATCAAGTCATATTCGTCAAACTAAAAATGTATTCACCGCCTTAAAGCCCTCAGACCCAGAGATATGATGTGAACATATGTATTTAATAATTTCGTTGTCAAACTTTGACTACGAAATTATCAAATTTAAATGTATAATGGAGTGGGGTCCATTTTTGTCAGTCAATTTTTATAAACTAGGAAGTTGTTTACAAAAAAAATACTTGAAAGTACAGAAATGGAAACAATAAAACAATTATATAACATCAATAAAAGAATTCTCGGGGAATATTGTCTATAATCTTTAACATTAACTTGTAAAAAATGAGTATACATTCTGTTATAAAACATATGTAACATACTTAAAATAAAGTGTATATTTATATTTTCTTCATTAACTATTTTTTCTTGGATCCGACAAAAAAGATGGCTCTTATAAGCCAACCTGTTAGCTGAAATTAAAGGCTTGTCTCGACCAGCCTCAGATGCACCCCAAACCCCTGTGCATTACAAGTAAGCCTATTCCTGAAGTCAAAATACTGGAGGGGTTACATAATCCCCATAAATTTGGTTGAAATTAATTAAAACTATACCCAAAACACGACAGTTACACAATTCGCTCACAGATGTCCAGAAAAAGCATAAAAAAACAATTTTCTACCCTAAACCGTAATTTCAAACGATGATAAAACAGCGATAAGGACACGTGATAAACACCTGTTTATATTCGTACGAAAAACAAAAAATTAACACGTTTATAATTCAAGGGCACTATGTCACGTGTCGGGCCGAATCCTCCATGTTTCCTATTTTAGAGCAGGTTATGTGTTTATCATTGTTGTTCTGGGTTTACTTTGCACGTGATATGAAGTTGCAGGACAGTATTTCAATAAATTCCTTACCCCGTGGCAACAATTGAAGTATTAAAAACTTCATTTGTTTTGACGTTACGTACAGATTTGCGCAGGCGTATAAGTGTGTAGTCACTTAAAATGAAAAGGGGTGGGACCCCACTGGCTCAGTATACACCGGGTCACCGTGGGTGATTATGTGACGCGTGTTGAGGGATGAAATTTATCAGAAAACTTTAAATTTTTATATTGGTGTATATTAAGTTACAACGAAGCTACGTTTAGTGTTTTGGTGTCCCACTGACTTTTATGCATCTGTGAATTGAGGTAAGTACAAATGAATTTGTTGAGACTAAATTATGAACAAATGTATGTGTGGATAAATGAGAACATAACGCATGAATACATAAATATATGGAGTTCCTTTACGTCGCACAGTGTATAATTTATACAATCCAGCTGGACAAAATTATTAATCATTGGTAAAATATTATTATTATATTATATTGGATTATTTGTTTTTATTTATATTTCTTCATTTATTTTTTTGTGTATAAATTTGTTTCTTTTTTTGGGGCTTCCCTGTAATTGGCTGTTATATTCAATACTGTACATGTATAAGTTTAATTAATCTCTCTTTGTAATATTTTCTTTATTATTTCATTATTATTGTATATTTATCAGTGTTTGCCTGTTATTGGCTTCTTGCTGTTGGCAAACACGTAAATAAATTAATTGAATTGAATTGAATTCTTATTAGCTTAGATTTTTTTATTTAAATTGTAATATATTTTCGAACAAATACTTCTGTAATAAAATTTATATAAAAATAAATTCCTTGACGCCATCAATGTATCACTGTCATGATCTAGGCAACATTTTTTCACCCACGGCTTAACCTAATTTGTCGAAGATACATGACACACCACAAAATTTTGCCTCGTAAAAACGGGTACGAAATTATACCATAAAAGACGTTGAAACTATTGACATGCTGAGCAACTATTATAATATAAAGAAGATTTTTCTTCCATAAAATTAGTTACCTTTCCTATTTTGTATATCTTATTGGCCGCCATATTCTTTTACTTCAGATTTAAATATATTTTTACGAAGCTCAATATAATATAATTAGACCTATCACATTAAACAGTGAGAACTGCCCTGTTATTTAAAAATTGCATTAAACTGAGAACCGGTCGAATTTATAAGGAACTAATCAATTTCCACGTGCGACTGTAATAAATGTCAAGAACTGAACGCAGTGAAAACATTTCGAAGGAATATAGCCTATTGTCTCTAGCTTTTGGGTTGAAGACGTTCCTCCGAAAAGTTGGTATACAACCAAATAGAACCAGAAGACCTTGATCTAAACTGAGGCCGCCGTCATAACCTCAAATCCTACAGAGCATAATTTATTTTTTCTTTGCATATAGTTGTAGCAAATCTTAATATCTGTCAAACAAGAGTTGTGGGTCTTAATGAGATCTTTATTTTCAGTTGTGTCTATACTGTGACTCCGTTTTGAGAAATGTTTTTAAGCCCAATATGTGCATCGTGATAAACCGACAGACCTTATGCTCCAAGATCAACATCTCCCGATTGGACAACTTTTAGTCCTTATCTTAATGCCAAATTTCATAGAAATCTATCGACTAGTTCTACAAATGAAACATACAGACAGACAATACTTCCCGTTCTGCGTTCATTTGATGTTGTTTCTCGGCTCTACAACCCTGTTGTAGGTTTTCGCCGCCTCCTTTATGGAGGTTTCTTGGTCTTGAAGTGTGCATTTATGAGTAGTGAGTGACCAGCCCACTGACTCTGCACAATTTCTACTCAGTCCTTATTTGACTGCCAGAGCCATCTAGCAATTAATCAGGAGAGACTTGGGTGAGAAATGACCGCTGAATTTTGCTTACGAAACATCTCGTATCATGCACGTAAAGTTCATTTACACGCCTTAAAGGAAGTTGTGCTACGGACTTTTATCACCCTTAAAAATTCAACGACTTCGGCCGGGATTGAACCCGCGAACCTTGGGCGAGCACGCTAACCACTAGTCCACCGAGGGCGACGTTCATTTGATGTACTTCTTGTAACAAACACATACAGACACAAAACATTTTGGTAGACTAAGAGCGTTTTTACATTAAATGTAATATTTGTACCGTTTGGACTTCAGAGAAAACGGGGCTCACCATTAGGAGATGTTTTTGGCATGAAAGTTGCATTTCAGATGGCGAAGCTGGTAGCGACCTGCAAAGCCATTCTGACGCGTCTCGTATTCGGGACGCACGGCTTCATCGCCATCTGGCAAGTGACAAACTTCAAGAAGAATCCTTTCTATTGGTACTTGTCGGCACCCATCCTCCTGCTGGTCTTCGAAGGCGTCTTCACTCTAACCATCAAGGACAGTCAGGAGTGGAAATGGTGAGTAACGAAGACACTACACGCACGCTGGATACTGACACCTCAGCGCCTTACTGACAACACATAAACTACCTACAGACGTGTGCCATATGTATCGAACCTGTTTACCTTAAACGACATGAGTCCTAGACTCATGGGTATTTTTTTCTATCGTCTGTTTCCTATGAAAAAGACATAAGTCCTGTCATCTAAGTACCAGGTATTTGTCTAAATTTTTACCATAAAGAAACTACTGAAACCCGCAATGTATTAAAATGATAACCCCAATTATTATTGGGGAATAAATAAACAGTGTTTCATATAATGTTTTTTTTTTTGTTAATTTTCTCGAAGTGATGTTTGTGGATTCGTGCAATTATGCAAAAATCTGACTAAATTATTATGCCCTGATATATGTTTCCTTAATACGGTAATGGTATTCTTCCACGCAAGATGAAACGGTTCTAACCCCATGATCCAGTCACTAGAGCCGTCTTTATGCAAAGAAAATATGCCACAAATCGGGGAAGGTTTTACGCGCGGATCCTAGACCTTACAATCCACAACAAATTCGTTGACTTTGAAGACTTGTCGTGATGTGTGTATGAATAACATGAAGGCCAACACAATTATAAAATCCAGTCAAATCGGAGATAAAGTTAATATCAAAATCGATAATATCGTTTGCGTGAAGCAACCGGAACATAGCCCATTACGATATCACAATAGGAGTCAGCGTTTTCACACAAAAGGCAACTTAAATACAAGACTTCGATAGCTACTCTGAGACCCAGTTCGGGTGTATCGAGACTCATCCAATCGATCATCTTTATCGGGATCGATAAACGAAATCTGAGTGGTTTCATTGTTAGACTCAAGACTAGTTCACATTATTGAGTTTAGGCGGCGTAAACAGAGATACCTATATTGTGTCAACAAAAGAACGTTTATCTGTATTTATATTTTCGACGTGTACAACGAAGGTCATATCTGTTTAAGGCTACGAAAGTTTTATATATTTTAAAAATGCCTTAAAAAATTTCGTTCTGTATCTCATTACGAAGAGAGATTACTGCAAATTTCCTTGCTAATTCCCTTCAAGTCTACAATATTTGCAGGCCTCCAGCGATTGAAATCAATCCAGGTCGACAGATATTCTTGACCAACAAAATTCTATTTAATGCAGAATTCAAGGGCTTTATGCAAATTGGACGATGTTTTAAACATTCTTTTTATTCTTTATTTACATGTTTAATAATACTAATATGGCGACAGTTTTCAGCTTATTGCTAGTTTATGAATAACTTTTCACAAATTAACAATTTATAAGCTCATCAGAAAACCGATAAATAGAATAAAATATAATTCATTTCTAAAGGGTTCTGACGACGATATATTGCATTTTAAACAAAAAACAATGGAAAAAGTCCTGATAACAAATAATTTTAGAATAAAATATGCTTCAACAAATTGTCGTTGACAATATTGTGCCTAATTATTACACTACACAAAGCAAAATATAACATGTTTTTCGGTGAAACATCTTATGTTTTTCTAAAGCATGAGGCATTTACTTGAGACGTTCTTCAGCCTGCAATGATGAAGTTAGTCGGAACTTCGTAGTCGTGATTCCTAACCCTATCAATCACTGACAGACCCTTAAGGAAGGCATCCGATGTGCATTACATATGATGTCACTACAAACAAAGGACGAGCGATCGGTCGAATCCATAAAGCTTGGTAAGAAAGCCTGGACTGTACAGAAAAGTAAACTACAACCTAAGTACCGCAAACTTCCTTTGTCTTTTTCGCCAATAAGAACGAAGGATTCTTTCGCCAACATATGTATTTCTCTGGACCTTCAATAAATTATGAAGCAATTAGTTTATTTTAATGAAATTACTTCAGCAAGTTCTGTCACTGAAGGACACCCAAATAATAATCTAACATTAACATGGCCAGAGGCTGAAATACATTACAAGCATTCGATTGACTTTTAAAACGTCAAACTACGAAGACAGGGAGAAAAAATTTAAATTTTCGTTAAGGCTTTTCAAACGTTTCATGCTACAGGGCGTTAAGACCAAATTTCATCGATATAGTATTTAAAAATTCAGTTTTTAGCTCAAACAAAATACAACAGGTTTCTGTTGCAAGACAGAATTGGTCAACGCTGTTTAAAGAAGGAAAAAATCGATATTTAATCTGAGAATTACATAAAACCCACAACAGTACACAATGTGGAAAAAATGCAGTGTTATTGAATGTTAAAGCAGGTGGTACATATAGGTACCACTGCGCTTAGAAATGTTGAACAGAAGAGATTAAACAATGTTAGAATATGTAAGATTTGAGGTTTTCACAGCGGTGAGTATGAAGATTTCTGTCTTCTGGGTTGTTGCGCTGTGTAGTCTGGTCGATGTTAATCAACGTTTC